CTTCTTTAACATCTGCATGGAACTACTGGTGAGATTGTCCGCTGCCACAGGATAAGGTATCATCAATATAGTTCTCTGTCCCTGACTGATCAAGTAGTGCCATTTGTGCTTTCTTAGTGTCTGGAGGCTGTGGGAATTTGGATGGTGGGCTTGTTGTTTACCAGTGGGTATTGAAGGTGTTGTTTACCAGAGTGGTATTGATGGAAGACACGTTTACCTCTAAACTATATAGTAATGCGAAAGGTTCAGTCAAAATATCACTTAAATAAATAACACATCAGTTGTTCTTGATGAAAATCCAGGACTTGCAAACAACTTGTTACTGTCAAATCATTCTGTTTATTTTTCCTTCTAGGTCATGTTCCAGTTATGTACCTTGTTTGAATCCTATTGTCATAAAAGAGTTTCAGATACACTTCTTTCAAATTATTGGGGTTAGACAGTCTGTAGTAGTCAGGAATTCAGAGGATTTATTTCTATATATTTTTTCTGGCTATAACTGGGATTCTGAATTAGAATATTAAAAAGAATTCCGCTGTCAATGAAACGTATATCACCCCATTTCTTTATTTTTATTTGTGTGTGTATATACATGTATTAGTTTTAAATAGCTTGGCTTACTTAAAAGTATATAATTGCCTCAAGGTTCAAAGTCCTTTCTGGGCAGTTTATAGCACCGTGCAATAAATGTAAAGATGTTTTACATATGTGATGATCTATTAGTCTTTTTCAAAACAGGCAGGCTTGAATAAATGGCTTTTCCTCTGAATGCCAAGGCAGCTGCGTTATCTGGAAGGCTTGGCACAGCTGCCTCAAAGGTTTGCTCCAGTTCTCTGCACATTATGTGTGAACACAGGGAAGGCTTCTGCTGAAACAGCTAGCGAAGCAAAGGAGTCATGCATGCATGCATGCATGCACAGGCAGAAATGACCCGAATCTAATTCAGAATTTTTTTTAAAAAAAACAAATCAACCAATCTTTTCAAACCTGAAAAGTGAAGGAAAAATGCAGATCTCGTTTGTTCTTTCATTTAAAAACTGTTTAGATTTTTGAGAACCCCGTGTTGTATGTATGCTTTGAATATACAGTAAAAGCAATAAGATAAGATAACCTTTATTGTCGTTTTTATACTGTGGGCACAATGGCACACATCAAAAATGAAATTTAGTTGCCAATATAAAGGCCTCTATAAATAGACTAAGCCTGCACAGAGGCAAAGGGGTCATATTGATAAATTAAAAATCGTCACAGGCTGAAAAAGCAATATGGTGATCAGCTGCTCTTTGACTAGTGGAGAAAAGGCAGCACTGGAGCCTGGTGATAGATATGAAGCTTGGGGGCATCAGGTAGCCTGTCTTTTGGAATGGTTGTGAATTTATTACTTTTTAAAAAACAAACAAACAGCGGGCCACATAAAACTGCTCAGTGGCCTACATGCAGCCCAGAAACCCAACGTTCCTGAAACCGATTCCTTCTGAATCTGTTGGATTATAACTTGTATATTTCCATCACTGTTGCCAATCTATCCAGAGGGCATCTGGTTGAAAAAATACTTTACTGCCATTGTCTGTATCCTTAGAATAATTTCCTTTATAAATCTCTATAAGCCGCTAGTTTTTTGTTTTGTTTTTTAAAAAGCTTTCACTTGTAAATACAGTGTGGTACATATTTTATTGCTTTTATTCATTTGCCTGTATTACTCTATTAAGTTTTATTGCCACATTCTTCTATTTTCATCATGCTCAATGTTGCATTATCCCCATTATACTAACATGCTATAAAAAAATCTTAAACTATATCTAACTACAGTTCTCAAATTTCTCTACAAATGTCTGATGGTCTAAAACATAAGTACATTGGCATGTGATGAATAAAGTTCTATGAAACAGATCAGTTATATGGTTTCAAAAATAGAGGAACGTTATTCTTTTCTTCTTTTATTCCAATAGTTTTCTAGCACTCGTTACAACACCAGCTCCAATTACTTCTCTCAGTGATAATGGTGCAATGGCTATGGTGGACCCCAACATAGGTTTTTGCCAGTGATAGCAATAGCACTAAGACTTATATACCGCTTCACAGTGCTTTACAGCCCTCTCTAAGTGGTTTACAGAGTCATCCTATTGCCCCCACCAATCTAGGTCCTCATTTTACTGACCTTGGAAGGATGGAAGGCTGAGTCAACCTTGATACCATCTTCTGTAACAGATCAATGGTGAATGAGGCTCTCATTAATTGTACTCTGCGCCGCCATCTCCAGTCTGCCATGACATTTGTGAAGTGCCATTAGCCAAGAACAGTTCAATCCACATTCTTTTCTCTATTCCCACGTAGTTCTTTTCTCATCCTCTTCACTTTAAAACAGGGATAGATGCTGGGCGACATTCCAAAACGATCTCACCAACAAGTGGAACCTAATGATATTTTTCCACATTAATTTTTAAGAGCATAATTAAATGAAGACTTGATGGCTTCGGTGGTGGTTGCTTTTTTCCCTCTCTCTGCCCATGTATTTACTATTTTGTTTTACTAGCTTTGTTTACCATCTTCCCTGCTGAAAAACTTTGGAGTTCTAATGTAATAAAGGTATTGCCCTCTTATAAAATTCTTGATTTTTTCCCCCTATAGCTCAGTGATGGCGAACCTTTTAGAGACTGAGTGCCCAAAAACCGGCCCCTCCCTGCCACCCTTGCCCGCCCCTGCTCCGCCCCTCCGCCCCTGCCTGCTCCGCCCCAGCTCCACCCCCACCCACAGGGCCATCCACTGCCTCTACGGTCTGCCACAGATCACCCAGGCAGCCCAGCAGTGCTATGGCAGCCACACCTTCCATCTGCGCCCCACAGCATCAACTGCGCGCAACAGAGAGCAAGGGCGGAGTCATGTCCCTGCTGCCCGGCTGCCATGTCCTTGACTGCACTGCTCCGCGCGGGCCATGCTCGAGGGTGACTCTCCTCTGGGGGCTGCTGGTGAGGAGGGGGCCGTGGGGGAAGGCGGGGCTGGGGCGATGGTGCGCGTGCCCAAAGAGAGGGCTCTGAGTGCCGCCTCTGGCACCCGTGCCATAGGTTCACCACCACTGCTATAGCTTATGCTGGATACCTTTGTTTTCTTTATATGCCCTTATATAAAATTCTTGATTTCCCCCCCCCTAGAACTTATGTAGGCTATATTTGCTTTATTGGTGTTGCTCCTCCTTACTGAAAGCAAGAAATATCAGCAGTACTTACTGAACCTTCTCCACCATCCCAGCTGGAGTTGGTTATTTAACAGTTTGAGACTCCTAAACCCAGCAGGCATGGGCATAAGTGTAAATATAGTTTGAGTTCAAGGGGACTTTCAATGGGACAAGGCAGGGGCAAGGATTCAAGGATGTTTCACAGCCAGACTAGATAATCAAGAGCAGGCTACTAAAGAGTTCAAAGAAAAATTCAAGGTGGGTTGTTGCATAAGGAAAGTGCAAGGTGGGCTGTTGTCCAAGGTGGACTGGACAATGAGACTGTGGCTTTAGCCACAATGATTAAAGCTGTGGGTGGTGGGGTCTGATGCCTTCTCTGCACTCTAGGTAGACCCATTGGGTCGTTGCAGTGCTTCGCATTTGACTCAAAAGAGATGCTCCAGAACAGGGGTATCAAACTCGCAACGTCACGTGACGTGTCGCGATGTATCGTGACTTTTTTTTCCCATTGCTGGCAATGGGGTGGGTGTGGTTTCGGCATGACGCATCCGGCCCGCGGGCTGGCAGTTTGACACCCCTGCTCCAGAATATACACAAGCATGAAAACAGATCTGGCAGTGACTTACTGAAGCAGCTGCATCTTTTTCTATAATCAGTTAGCTGCAGCAGAAGCCTTCCTGCAACAGCTGAGTGATCCAAGGAAAAAATGCAGCTGCTAATCTGCACCACCATGTTCTAAAACACCTCAGTGGAATTGAACCATTGCATATTTTTACTCCCAATTTTCTTCTTGTGGTCCTCTTCATCTTCTGAGGATCACTGATCAACTGGGAGGGTGTGACAAATTATGGACAGTCCTCATTTAGCAGTCATAACTAAGATCAACTCTATCACTAATTGAAACCATTGCTAAGTGTAGAATCACATGACTGTGACTGTGCTTTCCTTTCCCCCCACTCTCATGCCCTTTGGAATGGCTATCCCTGTGCTGAGATAATGAGCAAGATTGGAATTAATCTTTGTGTTGACATTAATTGGAGAGGATAGGATTACACGACAGTAAACAAGCACACAATGGGGAATACATCAGGCTGTTTGCATAGTGCACTTGGCTCTATCAACACAGAGGGAGGCTGCTGATGTCACCGTATTCCTTCCAATGTGTATTCCCCGTTGTGCGCCTGCTTACTTTCTTATAATCCCTTTCTCTCCAATTTCTCCACTCTGCAAGGGGCACAAAAAAGAAAAATAACAAGTCAGGCATAGGACAACCCATATTGACCATAAAGGCAATTGTGTGAGTGAGGGATGCAGCAAAGGTTGTAAACAGGGCTGTGGAGTCGGAAGATAAATATTCCAACTCCGACTCCTCAGTTTTTTGTACTTCCGACTCCGACTCCCCGACTCCGACTCCTCTGTATTAATAAGCTAACAATCGGAGTTTACAAGTTTTTATAGCCTTAGCTGAATGACAGCAGTTTTTCCAATGGTTTACAGCTTCAGTCTTGAACTATTGATCCTCCATTCCCTTCACTTATACAAGTGTCTCTAGTCCTGCAAAAAACATATTTACTTAATCCCTTATCAGTGAGAGGCTAGGTTATCCATGGGCGCTGCGTTCCCTGTAACAGCAGAACACAACACTGCGTTCCCTGTAACAGCAGAACACAACACACACAACACAAGTATAAGTATTGCCGCTCCTAATTGTGCGTTGCGTGCCATATAGTGAAGCACATGAAAAACATGCTTCTTCACGGTCACTTAACGTGTTCGTTTTGCGGTTACGTGAGGCACTGCATGCATTGGTCTTTATTCTTACAGTAGAGAAGTCATTAATTATAACTTTTTGTGAATTGGGACATTTAAACTTGCTTTTTTTTTAATTCCAATCTAAATTTAGTAGGAGTCGGAGTCCGTGCATTGTTTGCCGACTCCGACTCCGACTCCAGGTACCCAAAATTTACTCCGACTCCGACTCCACAACCCTGGTTGTAAATGTAGCCATTGGTTGTAAAGTTACTTTTTTTAAAAATCACAGTCATAATTTTAAATGCTCATTGAACATTGCAGTCACTAAGTAAAGATTATCTATGCAATTCATTTCTAACCTACAAAATCCTTGTTACAATATTTACAACAGCAAAGCAGTAAGCCAACAGGTGAGTGATGGTATGTAAAAATTTCCATCGCTACCAGTACTGGCATTAAGCAATGTGCAAAGTTCAAACTTTTTTTTTCCAGTCAGAATCTGTCATGAAATACTAGGATTCCATAAAACTCCATTTGAGAAAGAAGGCCCAGAAAATAATTTATAATCCAGTATCTCATTACTAGAGTTTATCTGAATGGATTTAAATGTATCTTTAGTGTAGTGTTGTTTTGTATGAATGGAATCTAATGCTTCCTCTTCTTTTTATTGTTTCCAGATTATTGTTGGAGAAACTGCAGTGTTTTGCTTACAGATGGCCACACGGGATTTTGAAAACCAAGAAAAAACGATATTAACTGGAGACTGTTGCTATATAAACCCACTGGTGCGCAGGACTGTCAGGTTCCTTGGTAAGAATATTGGGTGTTATTTTCTAATCTTCACGTATTAGGATGTCTAATCCAGTTATGGAAACCTCCTGATCAATTGAATTGTCTCTGGGTTCTTGAGGTTCCCATATAAAACTATAATCTTAGCTCTCATCACTCCTTTAATAATAAACTCTGCTCTTGAGTGTTTATAAGATTGTAGCCCCAAATGATGCCATTGAAAAACCAACATTCTCAGTTTGTATCAGTTCATTGCATCTACTGTATTGCTGAGATGCAAGCAACAATGTGTGGATTAGCAAGGTAGAGATCCTAGCTTGCAGAGAATGGCATGACCACGGTTGGAGTAAAAGTGGGTTTGGGTTGCATTTGTGGCATACTAGCTAAATATGTCAGAAATGTCTGATATTTTGTTTACTGTTGCCAGGGTACATGAGGAAAGGGGACAGTTAGTCCATGGATTCTCTACCTTATTAAAATTAGAGACTGCTAGATTTGACAGGCCTGGCCATTTTCATCCAGTCTCTAACCTTTCCCTTTTTGGGGGGGAACATTGTTGAGAAGGTGGCCAGGCTGCAGCAACAGAGGGCTCTGGAGATGACAAACTATCTATAGCAGGGGTGTGAAACTGGTGGCCCATGGGCCGGATGCGTCATGTGCAGGCCACACCCATTCCGGCTCCGCAAAGGCAAAAAACATCGAGATATATCATGATACATCGCATGACATGATCGAGTTTGACACCCGTGATCTAGACTCTTTCCAGTCAGATTTCAAATCAGGACATAGAATTGAGAAGGCTTTGGCTATATTTGCTATTGACCCCTGGTGGAAACCGGAATGGTATAGTGCAGGGATAGGCAACCTCGGCTCTTTTATGACTCGTGGACTTCAACTCCCAGAATTCTTGAGTCAGCTATGCTGACTCAGGAATTCTGGGAGTTGAAGTCCACGAGTCATAAAAGAGCCGAGGTTGCCTACCCCTGGTATAGTGCAATCATCCTGGTTCACCTTAATCTCTAAGTGGTTTCTAATATTATCCTTCTGGACCATTTGTGGGAATTATGAGTGGGAGTCACAGTACTACAGTTCCCCTTCTTTCTTTATAGTTAGATCCAGACAATGTTGGCAGGGAAAAAGAATCAAACGAGAGACCTTTCATATGTGGGGTGTCTTAGGGTTCAATGCTGTCACTCCCACCCCATTTAACATTTGCATAAGGCTGCTAGGTGAGGTATTAAGCAGTTTGGAGTCAGCTCTCACTAATGCACTGATGACATCTCGATCTCAGTCCAACCAGATCCTTCCGTCAAGGACTTGTCCCAGTATTTAGAAGCTGTGCAGGGATGGATAAGGAAGTACAGGTGCAAGTTTGAGTAGTTACGGGAATTTGGATCATACGAAGCTGGGAAGAGGAATAAAGAGCTCCATGGGTTGAGATTACACTTCCCCCTTTAGGACTGGTGCACAATTTGTGGATGTCTTTGGACTCACGGCTCCTGCTTAGAAGATATGTAGCAATAAAACTTACAAATTCATCCAGCACACCAGTTGCACCCATATCTGGACCGGGACAATCGCACACACTTGGTGACCTCACGTGTGGACTGTAGCAACGAAGACCACTTGGAAGCAGCAATTGATCCAGAATGCAGCTGCTAAGGGAATTAATTATGGGTATGCATACCATAATTATTTTTTTATAAGTTTTTATAATTTTCTATATTTTTTCTATCCTGCTTTATGGAGTAGAAAGTTGGTCTCTGACAGAAGGCCACCTGAAGAGACTAGAAGCATTTGAAATGTGGATTTACAGGCGGCTGTTACGTATAAGCTGGGTTGACAAGATCAGAAATGAGGAGGTGATAAACCGCCTGGGAAAGCCAAGAGAAATCAAAACAATTAAAAAACGAAAATTAGAATATTTCGGACATGTGATGCGACACCCAGAAAAATACGGCATACTCCATTTAATCCTCCAGGGAAAGATTGAAGGCAAACGAGGTCCAGGCAGAACAAGAACATCATGGCTTCAAAATCTAAGGGACTGGTTTGGACAAAACTCAGCAGCACTTTTTCGTGCGGCTGCTGATAAAAACAGGATCGCCAACATGATCGCCAACGTCCGATAACGGATATGGCACAAGAAGAAGAAGATGCATACCACAGTATGCCAACAGAACATTTCATTATCATGAGTTGAATTCACTACCAGTAAGATTCTAGATGTAGTTCAGAGAACTAGTTACCATCTATAAAGTCCTTTATGACCCAGGAGGAGTAGGGCACAGACATTTCATAGGATTTACTAGTAAAGAAACACACACACCCCAATATTCACTGGCACACCAAGAGAGAGGAGCAATGATTCCATCTGTTACAAACATAACACACCTAAAAATAAATCAAGATGATAAATTAGCATGTCTGCACTGGTATGTTCAAAGACAGGACAAGGTTCTATATTGTTTTCATTTTCGCTTAGCAGCGGCCCCTTTCACCAAACTTATATGCAAAATACTTTATTTATTAATATTATTAATCAGATTATTCATTTTATTGCACCGCTGTAATAGCCAATCAATTATTTCTTTTCCTTCCCTTTCTTTAGGCATTTATGCATTTGGACTTTTTGCAACAGACATATTTGTAAATGCTGGACAAGTAGTAACTGGGAATCTTGCACCTCACTTCCTTGCACTTTGCAACCCCAATTACACAGCTCTGGGATGTCAGCAGTTTACAGAATTCATCAGTGGTGCAGAGGCTTGCTCTGGAAATCCTGATCTTATCATGAGAGCCCGAAAAACTTTTCCTTCCAAAGAAGCAGCTCTGAGTATATATGCAGCAACATACATCACTGTAAGTAAAATCAGGCAATTGTGTTTGGGTTGTTGGCCTTCTCCTCAGGTGACTCCAACTTGTAGATGTCCCCACAGCCTTTGCCCACTCACCACTGCAGCAATGTGAAACCCGCTTTCATTCTTGTTTGACAGCTGCAGCAATGATCAGATAATAATATAAGTCACTTACGAAGGAATGGCCTATATCAGGGGTCCCCAACCCCCGGTCCGTGGATCGGTACCGGGCCACGGCATGCCAGCAACCAGTCCGCACAAACAAGCAAAGCCCCATCTGCAGGATGCAGGCAGCACACAAAACCACGTCCCCCTCCGGTCTGCGGAAAAACCTCTCCACGGAACCAGTCCCTGGTGCCCCAAAGGTTGGGGACCTCTGGCCTATATCATTACAGGGATATCAGGCATGTTGACTTCGGAACAGTTCAAATCGGTTTTATGCGTACAGATGTTCCAGATGGTGATATGATGTGATTGACATTGCGGCCATTTATCTCTCTCCTCCAGGGTTTGCATCTTGGCTTATTTATGCCATCCACAGAATCTCTGACCTTACTTTTGAGTTCCTGCATGGCTCTTAACATTGTTAATACCATCCTGCATGGTATTAACATTCGCTAGATTCATAGCGTAGGTAACGTCATATATCTTTAAGAGTCAAATGATCATTTTTTTAAAAAACAATATCAAATTTTCTTTTTTTTTTAATTTTAAATGTCCAATGTGTGCTCTTTGGAAGGGAGAATGAGGGCAATACCGTTCCACTTCCCAAATGTATCAAAGGGCTAAACGCTGCTTTTGGATAGCGCTGCCTGCTGTTTGTGCTTCAAATGATGTGTAATAATTAACTCGGTAGGAAGTGGCCTGTGTTGGTCTCAGTGGGGCACTTCACACTGGGGAGGCGATGTTGGGCTCAGCAAGGCACAGAAGCGATGCTGTTGCTTGAGGCTGGATTGAGGCAGTGTCACTCACCCTGGTGGGACCCCACGGTGATGTTCTTCTTACTGAGGATGCTTTGTTTCTCCCTGACAGTGTCCTCTGTCCCATACATTAGGCAGATAAAAGGGGTGCCTTCAGAAGCAGTGCAACAGTTCCTTTTTGCTTTGTGAAGGAGCTTCCAAAGGTGGCTTCAAAACTTTGCATAACCGTTCTTATGTTATCTTTCCAGAGGGTTACCCAGCATCGCTACAGAAATACATTAAGATTATCAAGACAAGAAGCATAGCTAGAGGGCATTTTGATATCCAGCCCTCTGCTTGATATTTAGAGAAGGGAGAATCCCCCGTGAATATTTCTCCATTCTTAAAATAAATCTTGGTATCTTGTGTGTTGGGAAATGGCCAGCTAGGCGAGAAGGATGACTCAAGCAGGGAATTAGCCTGGAATTGTTGCACAGCCACAAGAGACCCGGGACTGCTAAGCTCTATAGAACCTTATCTATCTGTTTCTAAGAGGAGACAAATAGTCAGGGGAGATTCTTGTATTATAAGCAGAATACAATAAAATAGTTAGCTTGTACTCTACATGTCTGGATCTGGTTGCTTGCCCCTGACTTTCTAATATCTGATGGATGGGTTATGTGTGGCCCTTTATGGTTGGCCCTGTGTCCTGATGCAGATAGCAGTGCAATCATCCCAACTTCATGGTAAGCTGCCTGACTGCATATTGTTGTGTTGGGGAGGGAAGCTCCCCCCGCTGAAATAGAAGGCAGCCTGTCCATCAGCTGAACAGCGAGCTGACAAAGTGAGTGTGATGAAAGGCTATGTGTATAATGTGTGTCTATACAAAATACTGAAAGTTCAGTTGAATGTGTTAACATATCTCCTTACTGTTTTAAAATGTTAAGGCAGACATGTCAAACACAAGGCCCAGGGGCCGGATGCAGCCCGTGAAGTGGTTTCATGTGGCCCGCAAAGTCATCCTGGAAACAGTGAGGGAATGGCCCCCAGTGCCTTGGCCCTGGCCCAGGCCGGCCGGGAGCCAATGTACAATTTTATGGTGGCCACCTATGCTCCACAAGGCCGTCTAGAAACAGCAAGGAACCAGCCCCTGCCGTGTCGGCCCCGCCCCCTGAGTGCATGTTGGGGAGGTGTCACCCTTTGTGAGGAATGAAGAAATGGACCATGCCTTGGCGCTTGCCCTGGTCCCACCCCCTTGTGCCAGAGACCCTCAGATCTGTCCCACTCCTGCCCAGGCCCTCACAGGCACCCTTGATGGGAACGATGTGGAGCTGGCCATGCCCACCCAGTAGGCCACACCCACTCCATCCACGCCCACCCAGTAGGCCATGCCCCCCCTGGCCACACACTCCCGCCCCCCCGAGGCAACCGCAATGCTGATGCGGCCCTCAATGAAATTGAGTTTGACACCCCTGTGTTAAGGCTATCTTAACTGCCATTGTTCTTCCTTTTGTTCTTACATTTCTACAAAAAGGTAGATTACCCATCTTTCATTAAGCCACTTGTTTACTTATTACTTTTAACAGTTGCGGTTTATGATTTTGGCTGGCATTGGTATCTAAGCAAATTATTGTCAATGGCGGGACTTGGTGGTTTGGCAATCAGGCCGCTCAGTTGATTAAACAAGATAGAAAACTTTTTCTTTTGACTTTATCCTTGCAGTTGCATTGTGGGTAAGGAAACCTTTTAATTCCCCCTCCTCTTCTAAAGGAGTAAAGAACTGTTGTTGTTGTACCACTGTGCTGGCTAAATTGGCAATCTAGTATGAATTCAGGAAGATTTCTTTGCAACCTTGGAAGTAGGAGAAGATGCCTCCTTAGCTTATTGTGACCACCTATCTGGGCATTCTCAAGGTTGAAAGGAAGGCTGCAGTTCTATAAGAGATTTGTGGAGTCTTTGGCAAGCTATCAAAATGACCAATAGTGTGACAGAACAGGTCACAATTCATATAGACCAGCCCTTGATGCTTCACTAACAGCTACATTATTGAATTCACTATATGTAGAATAATGGATGAGTAAGATTATGTCCAAGTCCAAAGATATGATCTGAAAACCCATGCTGTAGCAACCTCGCAGATGTAAAATAATCTAGAGTGTCTCAATACCTAACATTCTGGAAACTAAAGAATCACAGGATATAACTACTGGTAGTAAAGACTGATAAAAATATCCACAGTTGGTAATAAATTCCTTACTAATGTTTCCCCCCACTTCAGTTACAACCAGTATGTAGTTTGGAGAAATACAGAATGGGAAATCTTACCTTGGAGGTATAAAGTCAAAAATCTTTTGATGGCCATGAACATTTGCTGAAAGAGAGAGAACGTGTAATAAAAGTTTTAGATTTCTTTGGCGTTAGAAAAAATCTGTTGTTCAAGAAAGTCCAGCTAGATATATTCTATATAGTTTTGACATATGCAGCTGTTCCTGTTTTAGAGCATAAGTTGCCTATAGCAGGTATCTGTTATTTTAAGTCTGTGGTTTGTGTACCAGAGGCAAGCAGAAAATGCTCAGTTTATTTCAAGAGTGGGATTTGGTACACTACGCTGGATCACACGTAATTAAATCTATTATAACAACGTGCAAAAAACTTGCTTAAATTACTTATCATTGCACCAGGCTTTGTTTTTGAATTAGTTTTTCATACGAATTTAAATAATTGACCAAAATACATAAGGAGAGATAAGAACATGCATTTGTTGCAAAATAAGCAGGGAAATGTTTTATCCTGTCAGACAGCATTTTCTTCCCTTAATGCTCACGCTTGGCTAGCAGAAAAAAAAGAGGCAACGTCTTTTCCTTTTTTTTCTGCTGATGTGGTTTTATGTGGAGTCTCAGTTGTCATCTAATTCTTCTGCATGAGTGAAAAACAGCCTTGGCAGGCTGACTTGACCACATTGATGTTGACATCAGGGGGGCGTTTTAGATATCCAGAGCAACATGATTACATGCCATTAGTTTTAACGCATGCTTCATTTAGGTTTGTAAGTTGAAAAATCATACATCTGAATTAGTTAACATAACAATTCCAGAGAGAGAGAGAGAGAGAGAGAGAGAGAGAGAGAGAGAGAGAGAGAAAGAGATCTGTATGTTAAATTAGATGCATATAACAATATCTAAACACACACACACACACACACACACACACAATTACTTAGGATATAAAAGCAATGGCAACTTTGGGATTTACATGGTATAAACAATCAAAACATGATTGAAAAGCAATAAAGAGCATGTGCTAGCTTTTATGGATCTCTGTTCAAAGATTCATATAAACACCATATATTAAACGATGCATTAAAACACATTTATTAGAGAAAGTTATACAGGGAAATGAAACTTATACATGACAACAGATGTGGATTTTGTAGAGTTAAAACACATTTATTAGAAAAAGTTATATAGGGAAATGAAAATTACACATGACAACACATGTAGATTTTGTAGAGTTTTGAATTCCTTTAAAGAAAAAATAATATGCAGAACATGTAATGGAAGGAATACCATAGTAACTGTGACGTCAACACAGACTACATTTAGAATGATCCATATGCTTTTTCATATCTAGATATAAAATGTTTTCCCCCTTTGAGAGGGAGAATAAAAACAAAACTATTCTGACTTGATAATTCAAGACAGGAAATAAAATCAAATCAACAGCTAATGCCCCATTAAAATTAAAGATAATTTCTAATATTTAAACAAAGAAAGAATGGTTTGGGTCTTAGAATTCTTTTTATACTTATCAATAGAGCAATCAGAATTATTTGGGATCTCTGATACCACTTTACAATGCCTTGGTAAGGCCACACTTGGAATACTGCATCCAGTTTTGGTCACCACGATGTAAAACAGATGTTGAGACTCTAGAAAGAGTACAGAGAAGAGCAACAAAGATGATTAGGGGACTGGAGGCTAAAACATATAAGGAACGGTTGCTGGAATTGGGTATGTCTAGTTTAATGAAGAGAAGGACGAGGGGGGACATGATAGCAGTGTTCCAATATATCAGGAGCTGCCACAAAGAAGAGGGAGTCAAGCTA